TATTAAGTGGTTCAGGAGCATCTCACGAGTGAGAATGGTCCATTTAGAACACCGTGTTTTCATTCTGGAATGATCCAGCCATTCCATTGGGAACGCAGCATTCCAACTGCCTCATAATGGTCTACATGCATCTGCAAAACGCAGACTGTTCCTGCCGACATGTGAATCTTCTAATGAAATGCTTTTGTTCCAGCGGAGCAGTGCAATTGAACGCAAACTTTTCCAACTTTTGAGATGCTCCCTTAACAGTAAAATCCACAGTTTTTGACTGCTTTAATTTGAGCTTGTTTACAAAGTTACACAACCGATGCATGGGGTAGATTGTGTCTTTCATTTCTCCTTAATGCTCTCCAAATGGCCAATGAGAATAAATTCTTTCTCGTTCAATCTCATGCTTACAAGCTGATGAAGTTTAATGCCTGACTCACCAATGGTACACGTACACACAACCAGTGTGTTTTGCTTTCACTTACATTTATCCCACCACTACCCCGCATCGTCCTGCTGACGGGGTCAAAGTTCAGCATATCTGTGTGGTCAAGGTGGCCTTGACTAGGAAACTCTTCCCCAACAGGATCCAATTCAGGGGCTTCTTCTTGTCCCTCGCTCCTTGAGACCAACGTAGTAGCCATGCCCAACAGAACAATGGCCAGCGAACAGAGCAGCATATTAGGGGATGCCTGCATTTTTAACACACACAAGGTTTGATCACAGAAACTGGCCTATCTACATGTGTGTAATAAGGGTGAGAATTTGCGTTTAATTTGAAAACATTTAGAAACCTTTCCCATACAGTTTAAAAGTTTGGCCAACACGTTACAGAGGCTGCCACTGCCTAACTTAGTGTTTTCATACATGCATAATTATACGGTAACAATGCACATGGTCCAACCAATGTAAAATGTAGATTGATGTTGGGGCATTTAAAACAAGCAATGTTTATTGTTTTAGAATCCACTTCTTTCTCCAAAAGTACATGGAAGCCGAAAGAGAAAGTGTTCCAAACATTAGATTACATTTTACATCGTTTGCAATAAAAATGAACACCAGATTGCGGCACTCAGAATGTCAAACCTCTAAAATGGGCGGTTCCGTTTAAGCATTTGGGAAAACTCTGTGAACGGATTGTTTAAACGTGAAAATGGCCCACCCTTATTGTGCATGTCTTACGACAACTTCAAGCAGTAAACCTGTACTTTATTTGCTGTGCAACAAAATGGGCCTTGCTTGTGCTTTATAAGGAAACAGCAGATATACAAATAAACAACAGTGACAAATTTGGGACTTCTGATACCAATTTATGTACATGTTCTCATGACATTTGTACTGCATTCAAACATGTCGGTCAATCTTACTGCATGATTTGTCAATAAGTCTGCCATCAGCTTGTTCTTTTTAATTCACAGCTGTGAAAGATAGTTTGTAAAAGGAAAGTAAAATTGCGGATTTCATGCAGAATTGACCAATTATGCAGACTGTTCGGTCGATCATGCAGATTGGCTGATCGCTTCCAACCTACAGTGTACATTGTATCGAAGTTATAATACTGTAGGCCCATTTCATCAAAACCTGGCTGCTATTACAAGACTTCCTGGAAAGAGTTCCATATATATATATGTCCAGTAGTTATTAACACCGATTTTCCCTTGAAATGTTACAACAGCTGTCACAAAGTGACAACACGTCTCAAAAAAGTACATTTAGTCACAAAAATTCTAAAGTATTTACATGTACTCAGAAAGCATAGGTTTTTCAGACATGTCTCATGGGTGTGTGCACACTGACATCAAGTGTCGTCTGTATATCAAAGTCTTTCCAAATATCTTGAGAGAACTCCATAATGTTGTCAGATAGAACTTGAAACTAAACCTTCCTGATTTTGTGTCATATGCGCAAGTATGTACTATGTGTTTCTCTGCTCAGCACAATCTTTACTCCTAGTCTTATGCTATCCCGGGTGGACTCCCTGACCGTACAACGTTACGGAGGTTAGTCGTTACGGTATAAATGAAATGAAAACTAGTGGCCAACATGTCCAACCTGGGCTACTCTTCCGCAAATTTATTGTACGCCTAGCTAGGCCTACTCCCTCCTGAGTGTACATGTACATGATGTACATGTACGTGCAGGCCTAGGCAAATAACATGAACACTTTACAGCAGAATCTCGATCGACCGAGTGGCGTTCTCTTTTCACACTGTTCTCAACAAAAACACTCTATCCATATATATCTTAAGCTGAGACTGTTCTTGAATTGAAAATTTCATAAAAAGGTGAGCAAAACATTTGACGGTAAAGGCCAGGAGGGCTCCATTTAATACTAACCATTTCAATCGCAATAGAGACATTTCACGTTAGCGCCGTCTGCGCATATCTGCATCGAAACCGAGGCTCTCTGTGTTGAGCTTCGTCGCCTCGCCCGGCCGGCCCGCGGCGGAGTCCACACAGTACATGGGTTGTAGCTCTATGGTACATGTACATGTACATGGATATCCGGTTCGTAAGTGTGACGCCACTTCAGTTTAAACCACGCCCACTGCACAAGATACACGACCGTCGCAGGTACGTTAGTTCGCGGTCAATTGTCGTTATGTTTTCTTTTGATTTTACGTGTCGAGTCATCCTGAAAGACTCTTCCTCAAAAATTTGCAGCCTGAAAAGTCTTAATTTAATATACCTTTATGTATTTTGTGTCTTAACTCCTTACTTTCCATCGTCTGATCGTATTCAGAATTGAAGCCGACACATACAGCCTCGTTTTCAAACGCGGAACTGCGCAGATCGACGCTAAAATTGCGTCGTATTGGGATTTCCCGAACATGTATTGCGTCGACTCACTACAGACTAGTCTGGGGCTCCACGTTCCCATCAGAACGTGTGGCAGTGCGACTGGGGACCACGCAAGTTATGTTTATGTGTTTTTGTGTGTTTTGGTTTCGGGTCAGTCCACTCAAGCCCTATTGAAAACAGTAGGCCTGTACAATAAGCATTGTTTAGGGCTCAATAGCATGCAAGTAAATATCCTTGGGGTTTCTCAAACAAAAATTAAATTATTGTTTTTTTAATTAATTTTCCAATTTCTTTTCAATTTTTAGGGGTTAACTAATTACTTTTTAAATTATTCACACAAAACAAAATCCGCCGCCGAAAAGTGATCAAGTTCCGAGTTGCACGCAGCCATTCTTCCTAATGAAGCCCCTTTCTCAGGTCCTTGGGATTTTTCAACAGTATTTTTTTTATCCGATCTGCCCTCAGACGGAAGCCCAAAGAACTAGGGAGTTGATCCTGGCAAGGATGTACACAGTCGAGCCATTTGGGAAGCTAAATATCCTTTTTCAAAGGAAACGGGGGGGGACTTATAATGCTAATGAGCTTGGCTGGAGAACTGTCAGCACCCTTTGCTACAGAAGAACCACTTGTTTCCCCCTCTGCTGTTCATGGTTAATTAGACTTTTGCAGTTTTATCCTCGAAACTTAATTCCACGGAAAGAGCAAAAGCAGAATGTTGAGAGCATGTAAAAACTTAATTCCATGGAAAGAGCAAAAGCAGAATGTTGAGAGCATGTAAACTTCGTAAAATGAGGCGTTGTCGTCGAAAAAAAAAAGATGTGTAATCTCCGATGAATGCAACATCAGGCCCATAACTTGGAAGATTGCACTTTGTGCGTTTCCGCGCTTCCCATGTCTGTTTTGATTTTCAAGTTTTAAGTGGAAATGTTTTTCTGGAGTGATATATTTTTTTTCAGGAAATAGGCCCAGGTTCTGTCGTGTTTCTTCCTTCAAGTTCGGTTTCTTTAGAAAGGACACTTCCAGGCTACTTCGGTTTACAAATCTGTATAGGGCCTAGATAACACAAGATAGCATCGCTGGATATTTATCTAGCGCTTAAGGCTGTCTTGTTTTCTCCCTGATGGAAGGAAAAACAAAGTTCAGATCTTTCAACTTGGCATGGACTGTGTTTGGGCAACATTTGACCACCTGAATAATCGATTTTGATTGCTTGTATTTGATGGCAACGGTGGGCGATAAACAGCTCCGAGTCGACAGTGGGCGTACTGCACTTTTCCGCCTCACATAACGAGCCTCAGTTAGGGCGGGGGGCACTGCAGTTTTGTCAAAATACTTGAACTTTTGCAGCGTCTTTTACTTTGTATTGTAGGTCCCTACGTCGTCTTTAATTTCCTCCATTTTTGAGTGTTACATAAGTGTTACGAATGTGGTTTTCCTGGACTTCAATCGAATTTGACCATTGCATAATTGAGGGCCTACAAAGAAATGAAAGTGATGCATCCAGAAATCTACACGCGAAAGGCATCTCCGTAAACACTACTGAGAAGCATTCAACTCCTAAGTGACACATTAAACAACGTAAAAGAATGTAAAATAGTGTTTCTTGAATGCTCCATGGGCCAATGCTCTGCCTACAGTACGACAGAGGGCGCTGGTCTACGTAGCGAGACGTCACGATATTGCAGCACCCATTGCACCAAATCTTTGAGCGCACAGCCCGCGGGGGCACTATTAACTTTGGGCGGGAGGTGAAACCCAAATTTGGAAGACCCCACATGCACAACTGTCTTTAAAAACAGACGTAAGACAAAGTTATAAAAAAAATCTGAAGGTCGTGTCTGAAGATATACACACCATCCGAAATTTTGGCTTGGCCCTTTGGGAGACCTGGGACACTGACCCCCGATGCCCACAGATCGGCCAATGAACTTGAACTTCGCATTACGTCACACAGATTCCGTCTTTCACATCAACTGTACAAACCCAACAACGCGTACTGAGTTATGTTGCATGATGTCCTCGTTTGCAAGGAGCCTTAGCTTTTGTACCATGTGGGTCGATATGCCGGCTTTCATTTACAACGTTGTAACTTTACATAATAACCCGAAACTGTCATATTCATTCTCATAAAACGCTGACTGGTTTGATTTCTTCTCCATACTAGCAGAATAGCCTAGCCCAGATCATACGACGGTGACAAGCAAATTTAACCGTCGAAGTTTGTCTGTCTAGTTTTTGACGTGTTTGTCCTACCAGACTGTGTCGAACAAAGCCTTAATGTCTGCCCGGTAGATTTATTTGGTTTCGATGGAGGCGCACAGGGAATCGTAGTAGGTGTCCGGTGAAGTTACTCATCCCTGCTCCGGACCTGTTTTCCGGGCCGGTACGTTCAGTCATCGTCTGGTGGTGACCTACTTTCGGACTGAACATGATACAGCAAAATTCCACTTGTGCTCACAAGTAAAAAAAATTGTACAACAAACAGCATGAGAAGGGATCTGGTAAAATCACTTTAAAACATCAGTTTGTTGTTTCTATTTTCAGTGTATAATAATAGACAATTTAACGGCAGCCGACGAATTTGGACTGTACACAGTCTATATTGACCATTTCAAGGTGGAATCCACCTGCTAATCCTTTAGTGTTGACCATTTCAACGCACCCCTCCAATCTACAACCCGTTGCAAAAATCACAAAATGACACTGTTTTTAGTAAACGCCAATCCCCGCATTGTTACGGCGGGTACAGAAAGCCTGAATGAAGGCTGAAGTGCACGCAGGCGCTTTAAAGGTAGATGATAAAATGAAATAACAGCAGAAGAGACCACAAGAAGGTCGATCAATATTTTATCCAGAAAATCCCAGCGCAGTAAACCACAGTCCCACCGGGAAAATCACAACGCAACTGAAAGTTATTTATTAATGAATCTAAATAACCGTCAAGCACGCCTTGCCCCAGGGGGCTGCTGAGACTTGATACAGGCAAACCAAAGAGTCTTCCCGCGGAGTGGTTGCCCAAACTGTGAGTTTATTGAACAGATCTCTGCGTGACGTGGGTTTAAGCAACGCTTTCAAGAATTTCCGTGTTCTTGGAAGGGAATTACCCGCACTGCAAGTGGAATGGGGACTTGTGTGAAGTGCAGAGGGGTCCGGTGAACCGTGCAAAACGGGGTCCATGAGTAAAACTCTTGGGGAATGAGATGAACTGTGAAGAGGAGGATATAAAGAATGAGAAGAGTTCGCTCGTAGAAACTATGGTGTGCAGTTAGTGCGCCATTCATCCAATGATTTAAATTGTCAAATGCACAATCCGCTGTGAGGGCGTCGCTTAATTCCATGTACATGTACAGAACTACTCCTGTTTGCCACAGAGGTACTGTCTCTAATTACGGCTGGTGCTAAGTTGGCCGATACCGACAACATTCTCCCGTTTCGACAGCTAGAAAAACTTAGGTTTAGGTTTTATCTGTTTAATCATTGTGATGAGCCATCACTGAGAACAGAAACCTCACTATTTGAAAATACCAAAGGGTATAATATAATAGCTAAGCCACTAGTACTGACTGGACCTGTTGCTATCGTGCACGTCGGAGTAGGCCTACACTGTACATTATTATCACGCCGAGTAAGAATTGTTAACCACTTCAGAAGTAGTATGTCCAACCATGGAGGAAGGAAGCCAGGCTAGCTGATGCACTGACTATGGTTTACATATGCCCTACCACAACACAGCCGCTGGTGTTTTAACTTAAAACACCTGGAAAGTCTCGACGGTGCGCCTGCAATTCGTCGTGACGCCTCTTGGTTCACGCGGATGGTCACCTACCGACGGGTGGGGATTATAGGTCGGTCACATCGGAAGAAACCATCTAAGGAAATCCTAGAAAAAAAGGGGTATACTCAATATTATTGTATCTGGTTGACCTCCCGCAGACTCCTCGGAGTATAGCGAACTAGACGAATGACCAGTGTTTGTAATTACTGCAGATCAGCGGACTTCACTCTGGACTTTACTCGGAGTTCACAAGCCGAGGTGCGGGAGTTGCGATGCAGTATACCTGTAAAAAGTCAGGCACTGAGAGTCTTGAGACTGTAATTGGGAGGTAGGTATTAAACGGGAAATCAGCTAACTGGACTATGGGTTTTCCGTAGCTACTGCCTACCGGCCCGGGAGAACAACTGTAGACACACCAAGGGACAAACAGGCTTACTCTTACGCGTATGGAAAGGTTATTGTCAGCACCAGCAAGTCAAATCAAAAGGACATAAAATGCTTGCTCAAAGCACGCAAATGATTTGGTTTATCGATTGAAGAAGAGTTCAACGGTGCCTTTGACATAAAACACACGTGTTTAAAAGATGAAATGGGTTAGGTTGTGTGCTGTTCCAATTTTCAGTAGCGTCATGCAGGAGATTTAAACGAAAACCCATGTTCTTTCTGCAGCCGGAATGGGTACATCCCAATCATAAGCCGCTGATGAAGAAATACAGTCCAAGGACTCCATTTGGTGTAAGCGGCTTCAGTTTTCGGTAACTTCACGTCCTTTCAAGCTGAGAAGCCTATATTTGTCTCGTGAGATGCCGTCACTTTGTAATGTGACGTCACTTTGATGGCGTTGCCTCATGCATGTACGCATGCATGAGGGCTGACCGCCTCTCCACGC